TATTTTAAAATTGTAATATACTTAAGATTTCAATAAGTGCATCTTTCATAAAGCATTATTAATCACTGCAATCAGAGTTGAAGCTCCTTAAAGGAGTCAAAACCCATTATGGTTCTTTTCAATATATCTCTAAAACGGTACAGCTTCTGGTATTCATCATTTGAAGTATTTAACATTTGAGGCTTAAATTTGACCCTGAACTTGATCCACTGATTAATGTGAATAAAAGTAAGCCCATGTCTATGACTCGGGAGGGAATTCACTGATAGTGATGTTTATTTGTTTTAGCACCCGGGACAGTGAAGGATCAGGTAATGGTGCGAACACAGCCACAAAATTTGTGCTGTGTGGAATTTTCTAAATGCAATTCTGGATCATATCATTTGGTTTTGAGTGCTATGTGTGGTTAAACTGTATTTTGGGTGCTTATAGCACTGAAATGTTTTTTTTTTTTTTTTGTGAATTCACCCCTCAATTTTTTGGCAGATACTAGTTTTTACATTTCTGAGGCTTAGTACACAAGTTCACATACACAAACAATATACACACACAGTTTGAAGTCTATTATTAAAGTTCCTATCTCTGGAAACTTCATAGAAATTTAAAAGTTTCCTAGCAACATCCTTTTCAAAATTATAATAATAAAAAAAGCTAAAAAGATGGTAGCACAGGTGGGTGGAGATTCATTTCTAAAGACGAACACACAAACAGACAAAAAAAAAACATTTAGAATAATTTCTTTGCATGAATGTCTAGAATAAATTGGGGGCAAATCAGTAAGGCATTAGTAATGCTAATCTCAATATTCTCTAGAAAAAGTTCTCCAAGGACAGAAGTTCTCAATTTCGCTGAATAGTTTTATTATTACCGCATTGTGCTCTTTGTATCAATGACGGTTTGTTAAAACCTGCCGATTGACAGTTCTACGTCCTGGCCGGAACAGGTAGGCCTACTGTTCAAATGTCGGTGGGCTTTAAAACTGCAGTTAGCTGAATAAACATGCAAGGGGCCAGAACACATTTTTTGTTATTAAATTTGCGAAATCGCAGCGCAGTAGAAAAGAGCGCATCATCTCGAGACGCTTTTTTAAAAGTTGAAATCCGTTCACACCGTTTTAAAAATGCTAAATGCTAAAATGCTAAAAAGGTAGCGTCAAACGCATGTTTACATAGAAAAGCAAATTAGAAGCAATGCAGTGGAACATGAACGCGTGTTTTGAGTGAAACTGTAAGTATTTTTTGGAGTACATTTGACAAGAAAATACTATTTCAGTCTTTCTACTCAAGAAAAATCACATTTAAACGTGCAGTAGGCGATTTTTGAAAAATGCTGCTGAAAAGTGGATCGCAACACACTTGTAACCAATCAGCATTGAGGGGCGTGTCCACATGATGGGGGAGGAGAGAGAGCACAGAGCACAAGATGGACATTAGCCAAACGGCTATAGAAAGAGAGAAATGGCAGAGAAAATACAAAAGAGGATAAGGCGACACAAATATAACTTTAAAAATAATGGTTACGATCAGGCAAGAGGTAGGACCCGCGTTAATATCGGAGAAGCTTTTCAGCGCTGGAGAGACAAGGAGTGGGAACTGGGAAGGTCTGAAAACCAGATGCCGAGCTTGCTTTATTTCTTCTCTATACGCGAGTAATGTTGGTTTGCTGTGTTTCACAGAACTAAGATATGCCGTCTTTTGCTTGAATAATATACGTGTCATCTTCGCTTGTACAATTGCATTATTATTATTATAAGCCTGGAACGTACTCCTCCAATGCTTGAAAAGTGTGTCCGAAAAGTGAGATAACATACTCCCAATATATGTTTTTTCTTTAAGTTCCCATTTTTAGTGATCACTAGTCAATTCAAGTCATCCTCATTTATAGAGCGCTTTTAACAATGTAGATTATTTCAAAGCAGCTTTACAGAGATAAACTTAAATTATATTAAGGTAACACAGATTGGTTTGGTTTTATAGCGGTTCCTGAATAATGTTATTTTCCAGCTAAAGTTAGGTTTGATTGATTCACTTCCGTCGAAATGATCATTTGTTATTAAATTAGGGGCCGCTAAAATGACACCGTTCTCTCTAAACATATTTTAAACGCGAACCTGTGATAAATGGTGATGGCGTTCACATGCGCATTAAGAATTGATTCTATAGTTATGTGCGTTTGAATATATGTGCGCAGGTTTGTAATTCCCTTCAAACCATGCCTAAACAAACTACTTGTCTTGCCTATAAGTTTTGATACAGAATTTTATTTTATTCTATAACTTCGGGGTTGGTACGTGAACCCTAATTTCCACAACGCTTTATCTGTATAGGGGAATAGGGACCCTCCATAGGGAGAGGCTAGTTGGCACTTCAGCACTGCATTGTCATCGGGTCCAGGCGATGGTCCTTCGTCAGATCTGGAAACGGCCTGGATCCGGCAGGCTGCGGGAAAACCTCGGGATAAAAAAAGACACTAAAATTAGCGTAGATGCCATTCTTCTTATGATGTAACGAATACATCAGGATTTAAGGGAAGTGTTCCCAGTTCCGGCTGACCTAACCTATGCAGCCCAACATTTAATTATAGAAGTCGATAATGTATTATGTGAATGCAAGGTCAAAGAGATGTGTTTTTAGTCTAGCTTTAAACTGATAGAGTGTGTCTGCTTCCCGGACAATGGTAGGAAGACTGTTCCAAAGTTTTGGTGCTAAATAAGAAAAGGATCTACCGCCTGCAGTCGATTTTGATATTCTAGGTATTATCAACTGGCCGGAATTTTGAGATCGCAATAGACGTGAAGGACTATAATGTTTTAAAAGTTCACTCAAGTACTGCGGAGCTAAACCATTTAGTGCTTTGTAAGTAATCAACAATATTTTGAAATGTATACGATGTTCCATAGGGAGCCAATGCAGTGTTGATAGAACCGGGCTAATATGGTCATATTTCCTGGTTCTGGTAAGAACTCGAGCTGCTGAGTTTTGGACCAGCTGTAGTTTGTTTATTAAGCGTGCAGGGCAACCACCCATAATAGCATTACAATAATCTAGCCTTGGTGTCATGAACGCATGAACTAATTGTTCTGCATTTGTCAATGAGAGCATATAGCGTAATTTAGATATATTTTTAAGATGGAAAAATGTGGTTTTACTAGACACGTGACTTTCAAATGAAAGATTGGTATCAAAGAGCACACCCAGGTTCCTAACCGACGACGAAGACTTGACAGAGCAGCCATCAAGTGTTAGACAGTATTCTAGGTTATTAATACTATAACCACTTAATCTTGTCACATTTGTAATATATTAGTTACTTGGACTATTGTGTTAAGTAGGAAGCTGTTCATGAAAACTGTTTTTTTTTTTGGATGGAGGGCATTTACAGAAAAAAGTTATTTTAATCTAATTTTAAACCATTCAAGCATAAGAACACTCACACACTGTTTTCTGTGCTGCACATCCAAAACGTGCAGTGTTATTTTATATTTTATTACAGTTTCTGTACATGAATACCTGAAATTCTTATTTCAATCATTTATCTTTATTCAGTTGTTCTTATTTGTGATTGCTAATTTGTTTAATTGCTCTTTTTAATTACTGAGTGTTTGTCTTTAATTATGCTTGAAATGTATATTAGTTAGGCTAGTTGTTTTTTTCAAACCATAGGCAAAAGTTTTTTTGTGTAAGTGTTCTTTAGCATGTTGATGTTTGTTCATGGTATTCAGCTACAATGAAATGTTTTGCAATAAGACTTTGAATAAATGTGAATGATATCTACGTTTTTTCTTTACCTAACTGGAATTTAAATTAGTAATCGAAATGAATCGGAATCAATTTGGAGATTCAGAATCGTTAACATTCAAACGATACCCAACCCTAGTCGTGGCATGTGTTGCATAGCGTATACACTGTACGTGAATGTGGGGGTGGAGGCATCAAGATAGGAGCGTGATCTTTTTGGGTAGGGGCATGTTAGTTTTGGTGATTTCAAATATCAACAGCGTTTACCAGAAATCGCTTACTGCACCTTTAAGTTTCTTTGTAATTATTTGTGAAATGTATTAAATTATTTGTGAACCTTTCTGTACCATAGCTAGTGTCCACGGCTTTTCATTATGGACAGATGGAATACATGTACTAGGTAAGCAAAGTCATAAATCCTGCATTATTTGTGAAGTGAAACATGAGTGAATCTTTAAAAATATAAGATGCTTTGTATAATGCATCAGGGACAGCCACCCCCTCCTCCCCCTTAATGCCACTGATGTAGTTATGTTTCTCATAAAAAAAACGTCATTTTAGTAACTAATATGATTGAGATGGAAACTTTCCTCAGACTACTTCCTCAGACTTTCCATCAATAATTAAATCAGTATGAATTGATCATATCAAAGCTACTTCTATGTCTGGTATTTCGGTCTATCTTTAGTATTGTGGTTTGAATCAGACAAGAAACTGGCACTTTGAAGTGTGTAAATGTGTAGATATAAGAACATGTCCTTGCAGCATTTTGGCATATTCCCATATGGCTGCATCCACAGACTTAAAAGAGGAAAGTTGTGGGAAGGTTACAGGAAGATTTCAACAGTGGGAGTTGCTCGTGTTGACTTTGCATAGCAAATAGGGGAGTTTTACAAGAATGTTGCTGCAGTGTTTTAGGGGAACGTTTGGATAACCTTTGTTGCAAACCTAAGGGAGCCCTAGTTTTACACTCTCTCCATGGAGTTTCAAATTAATTGGTTGCATAGCACAAGGGGGAGGCTCCAGTGTACTTACAGTGCCACAAGTGCTAACGCTATTGGAGCACTGGGAAACCGTATGCCAAGGTGCTGAGCGGTCACATATGTGTGAGCATCTGGGGAGCGTTTCTTTAATGCTGTTATTTCATTAGGGAAGCACTTGTGAAACTGAGCGAGTCCTCTGTTTGGCGAGTGTTTATGGACGGTTGGAGAAAAATAAGTTATTTTCAAGGGGCGCATGTTTGAAGGGCACAAAAATATCCTGCAGTCTTTGTCATTGTCGAGCTTGCTTGCACCTTTTGTCTGGTAATGACTTATTGCACTGTTCTCAATCATTAGCATGCATTAATTCAATGTGATTGCAATACATGTGAGATGCAATTAATTCTTGTAATACCGAGGATTATTTAAATTTTATGGTTATTCAACAATAGGTTTTTGGTTTTTTTGCAGATGGTGATATCTAAAGTGAGACATAAAAACGTTATTTTAAAAACATTTGTGGGTGCCATTTAAAACCTTTTTGCAGCATTCTCTCTTTGATATCTATTTGTGAACAGTTGGATTGTGGGTGAATTGTACTGTGTTCTCTTTGGGCTGATCGTCGTTGTTGTTGTTGCCAGGCGAATGTTTGTTGCTGCGCTCAGTCCCGCCCTTTGATGTCTCCTGCAGGAAGAGGCGTGGCTTACAAAGCGACAGAAGTATTCTGCGGTATTCTCTGCGGAAGTTCTGATTGAGCAGCCCGTACACTACGGCGTTCAGGCAGGAGTTAAAGTAAGCCATGAAATAACTAACCACAAACAGCCAATCAGGGACCAAGGGCGCAACATTGGGCGGGTCCATCGCTACAGCCAGGCCAATCAAATTCAGCGGCGCCCAGCAGACGGCAAACAGCACGAAGACGACGAACATGGTCAAGAAGTGGCGCAATTCATTCGGACGGAGGCGTGGCCTGACGTCGGTTGTGACCCGCCTCCTCACACGGAGCACCAGCACCCAAATCCTCAGATAACAGAACGTAACTACTGCGATAGGAAGCAGGAAATGCACGGTCACCACAGCGATGGTGTATCCCGCGCTTGTCGTCTGACTAAAAGTGCATGAATATACGCGGGGGTCGTACGTCAACGACCCCAGCGCCAGGTTTGGAAGAATGGCAAGGGCGGTGAGTACCCAGACCAACACCAGTAGCGCCAGGGTTCCGGCACGGCCGTAGATTTTCTCGTAGGTGTTTGTCTGACAGATGAAACAGTAGCGGTTGATGGCGATGGCGGTGATGTTGAAGATGGAGCCGATGACGCTCGCTCCCATCAGGAAGCCGCTGACCTTACACTCCATCTCCCCCGGCAACCAGTCTGCGTGCAGCATGGCGTGCAAGACCAGAGGGTAGGGGTAGCAAACCACCAGAAGGTCGGCGAAAGCCAGACTCACTACAAACGCATTACCTACAGGACACACACAAAGAGAAGGAATTCAAATGCAAGGCCTCATGTTGTGGCATTAGAGCAAAGTCAATTATTTTTTGCTACGTTCACATCATGTCAGGATTGCTATAGTTTCTAAATCTTTACTGAACTCCAAATTACAAGTGGGAAATTTGACATTTTTTATAGCTCTATCTTCACTGACTTGACCGTGATGTCATATGCAAACCAGCAATTTAGGAAACGCGCCTAGTCAGTTAACTACACTATCTTTCGAAAGTTTGGGGTCGGTAAGATTTTTAAAATGTTTTTGAAAGGAGTCCTTATGTCACCAAGTCTGCATTTATTTGAAAATACAGTAAAAAAAAAAGTAATATAGTGAAATATCAATACAATTGGAAATAAACAGAGCAATTCCAATAGGGTCCTCACACCATTGGTCCTCGGGCCCCTAATAACTGTTTTCTGTAGTTTATTCAAAGCTGAATTCTCAGCATCATTATTCCAGTCTTTAGTGTCACATGATTCTTTAGAAATCATTCTAATATACTGCACAAGAAACTTTTCACTGTTAAAAACAGTGCTGCTTAATATTTTGTGGAAACCATGATAAATAAAATGACTTTTAAAGTTTCTTTTTTTAAAATCTAAATCTTTTAGCAAAATATTTACCAAAACTTTAACTTTTTTTCCTTAAAGCTGCAGTCGGCAAGTCTGGCAGATTGAGTGGATTTAGGAACATTTTGAATGTTTACAACTCTCATGCCCCACCCCCACTATCAACGGATACCCTCCCACCGAGTTCATGCTCGTCAGTGCGTGTGCACCAGATTTTTAGTGAACGCGCCCGTCTCATCAGCATCCATCAACACCATGGAGTATTTGGAGGTATGCTGTCCTGGCTAATCTACGATAGATTGCAATTGCTAATGTCATTTATACTCTAAATGAGCTTACTTGATTTTCCGCCATCACTCTTCGTTACTGCGCGAACTTCCGGCGTGTGCATGTGTGATTGTAACGGACGCGAGGGTGGCGTGTACCCGATCTGTGATTGACAGTCAGATCTCACACCCCCCTGCGCTGATTGGACATGATGAACCGGGAGCTGTGGATTTTTGCAAAACAAATAACACGCTCCAGGTGGAGTTAGAAGCTCGGGTTTTTTCTAAAACCACTTTATTTATGTTGTTCTGTCGGATTATAGTGTCGATTTCACTGAATATGATCAAAAAAATGTTGCCGACGGCAGCTTTAAAAAAATTCAAGCCGTCTGCCGGAAGCCAGTTATTTTAGTCGCTAAAGTTTTAAATTTGGATATTGTTCTTACACGAACGCATCGCTTTGCTTCAGAAGGCCTGTATTAACCCCCCAGAGACGAGTGGAGAACTTTTATCATGAATGGATGCACTTTTATCGACTTCAAAACAGAAACGGCCATTCAATGCCATTATAAAGCTTGGAAGAGCCAGGACATTTATTAATATAACTCCGATTGTATTCGTCTGAAAGAACAATGTCATATACACCTAGGATGGCTTGAGGGTGAGTAAATCATGGGCTAATTTTCCTTTTTGGGTGAACTATCCCTTTAAAGTCCTGTGGTTAAAAAAGTTTTTAATATTGTTTCTGGGTATTTTCTCTTTAAAACTGCAGTGATCTAACGACAGTCTCAAAAATGCGGCTTAAAATTGTGTTTCTGATGTCACAAACTGTACCTTGTAACCAATCACATCAACGTGCCGGCGGGCTTTAGCATATCATTAACTATGACCGCTCTGAAGCAGTGAAGTCTCAAGAGATGCCAGGCTATCCCGGTATATTTCTGTGTATGATACGTTACGATTTTATGATGAACTATATACTGTACACCTTTCTCCACTGACTTTCTGAGTTTTTCCAAAGTGTTTCTAAGAATACTGAGGCAGCGGTCTGACTCTGAGATGGAGAACGGGAACATGGTTTGTGTAACATTAGCAACACATTATTAGCTGTTTGATAACATAGTCAAGCAAAAGGCTAATCATATTAATTACCGTTATGTGTCCGACGTCAAGAGCGATACCATTGTGCATCGTTTTCCTCAGTAAGTTGGCCGATTGAATCTCTGAGCTGGTGTGAGTGAGTGGAGGCGGGGCTAATTTGCATATTCACAGAACCGCGTAAGAAATGAGGCAAAGGTGTAGAGTTACATTCAAGCTATTTTAAGGCATGGAGCATATTTTTTTTCACAGGAAACTAATTTTAAATATGTAATTTTGGTGATCAAAGATGAGTTTTAAAAGGTTAAAATTATTGACTACAGGGGGACTTTAAAGGGATACTCCACCCAAAAATGAAAAATCTGTCATCATTTACTCACCCTCAAGTTGTTGCAAACCTGTATGAGTTTCTTTCTTATGCTGAACACAAAGGTAGATATTTTGAAGAATGATTGGAACCAAACAGTTGTTTGGCACCATTGACTTCCATAGTAGAAAAAAAAAATACATTGGAAGTGTCACGATTCATGAATTCGCTGTTTCCTTCATGTCTCGTGTTATTGTTGTTCTGTGAGTATGAGCGCGTGTGAGTGGGCGTTACCGCTCGTTCAGCTGATCAGTCACCGGCTGATCTCATTATCAGCGCCAGCTGCTGCCAATTCACCTCACTATAAAGACTCATCACAATCTCCTCTCTTTGTCAGATCGTTGGTTTGGTGTCCTCTGTGTCGTGCTTCGTGTCCCTGTTGCAGTCTGTTCCAGTTTGAGTTCCTGTTCGGTGTCTTCGTGTCCTGTCTCGTCTGGAGTTTCACCTGCACTGGATTCACCCTCACCTGCACGCTGACCACTGAGTCCCTGTGCCACCATCTGCTGAGATTCCTTGTGTTTGTCATTGTGTCTTCTGACCATAAATAAAGAGTTAACTTGCACTTGCTTCCGCCCCGTTCTTGTGACAGGAAGTCAATGGTGCCAAAGTTCCAATCGTTCTTCAAAATATCTTCCTTTGTGATCATCAGAAGCAAGAAACTTTAAAACAACATTAAAAGCTTGATTTTCACCACAGGGGGACTTTAAATATTTTCCTGTTTCATATTTCCCAGTAAAGCCATGGATCTGTATTATTAGAATCCCCTAGTAGTCCCACCTTGCAATTATGACAAAACATGTTTTTTTGTTTTTAAATATATACATTTACACCGTGTCCTATGCACAGTGGTGGAGGAAGTACTGAATCTCAGTACTTAAGTAAAAGTACAAATAACCAGAGACATATTTACTTTAGTAAAAGTAGAAGTACCACATTGACAACCCTACTTAAGTAAAAAGTAAAAAGTACCTGATTTTAAATGTACTTTAAGTATTAAAAGTAAAAGTACTTGCATAACAATTTATTCTCTTAATGTCTATATTCTAATGATTAATAAAACAGTTAATTCTAACTCATTCAACCTAATACTCATATAATGATGTTCAATATGATGGAAAAGCAGTTATATTTTAAGTTTTTGTCACCATTTCTGAACAAGCTTGCAATTAGGCAATATACACATCAAGCTTACTATATACCCTTACTATATACGGTGTAATATATATATATATATATATATATATATATATATATAAACACACATATGTTAAAACGACGTATATGACGGCGTTTGGCTGTAAACGCGATTCATTTATGGCGTAATTCTGAACCTCTTGGCTTGCCATACTAACCAAACGTATAATACACACTCACCCCCACATCACTACTAAACCAATGCGTGTCCTATGCATGTAAAAACTAATTTTCGCGTATAAATTGCACGATAAACACACTGCGTGCTATACCGGGTTGATATATCTATGGCAACCAAACTTCACTGGTGAGACAGAAACGTGCGATGAACGGACGGTCAGGATGACGTTTTGACAGGGGAAAACTGATCAGAAAATTTAACGAAAATGTAACAGAACGTTGTAGAAATGTAATGGAGTAGAAAGTATAATAATTGCTGCAAAATGTAACGAAGTAAAAGTAAAAAGTATGCACTATTGATTCTACTTAAGTAAAGTACTGATACGTGAAAAATGTACTTATGTAAAGTAACGAAGTATTTGTACTTCGTTACATTCCACCACTGCCTATGCAACAAGTTTCCACTGTCACGCAATTTGTCTCTCCCCGCTGAAAGAGAAATGCTGTTTATATGCAGCTGTATGGACCAGGATTTTAAACCAATGAGAGTTAACTGTGGGCAGGGCTTCTCAGTGTGATGACACATGGTCAGAATAATGATTTCTTATGGAAGAGATGATGCTTGACACTGTATCACACATCACATCTGGTTAGGACACAGCCTTACAAGAAACATGTCACTGCTTTTGGACAACAAATTGCAATTTTTTTGTATATTTTTTTTTTTGTTAATTCCAATACAGACTCATGAGGTTCTTCAGATCCATTAAATTATGACACTGCAGCAGCATTTATCTGCCACTAGAAAATAAAATTGGTTGCACTTTATTTTAGAGTATGTGCACCTACATGTACTTGCCTAAGAAAGTAACTATAATAAGTACATAGTATGTACATACATGGGGAACAGGACTGTAAAATAAAGTGCTACCAAAAAATGTATGTGTATTTTTGTACACATTTTTACAAAAGTTTCTTGTGTAGAAACACACAAACAAAAAGAAGGTCAAGCAAGAAAGGAAACTTGACAACAGCACCTGATCTGTAGTTGACATATTGCGTGTCTGGGAGTGTAGGAGCATTTGTGTGTGTGTGTGTGTGTGTGTGTGTGTGTGTCTGTGAGTGTGTAGGACAGGCTCAGGTGCACTAGTATTTTAACAGTGAGGTTCAGACAAAATCCATTAGATTAAGTGTGGTGTCTGTGACACCAAGTTCTCCTCTACAGTATACTGAATCGGTGCATGTTTGCTTGGTTTGCCAGTCAGTCTCTTGCATTAATGTGTTGGGTGATGGTTTGTTGGAAGTGGAAACTGTTCAGATCAAGTTGTATTACACTACAGCACAGATGGAGTTCAGAT